CAGATTGCCCCATGTCACTTCACTATTTCACTTCACAGCAGTAAGAGGAATACTTTGAATTTCTTTTTTAAAACTGTAATTTGAAATACCTGCGGAAAACTTTCAGTTGCATATCTCTACACTGGTATTTGTTCAGTGACAAAAATGTAGGGTAAATCTCTTTTACATAATAAGTAATCAGATTGACAGACTGTCAATATACTGTATTTGTTAACAGCTATATGAAGAAAAAGTAATGTAAAATTATAATTCTACTGCAGTTAGAATAACTTAAAGATGATACAAGGTAAAGATTATATCAGAGAATAATGTTCAAGCAATTAAATCTTTAAAGAAAAAGTAAGCTAATTACTTATGCTGTGGACCACAAAAATACGTGATGACAAGCATGCAGGCACAGTAGAAAATATTTATTTCCTTGCTATCCTTTAAAATTCATATATATTGCATAAGTGAAATAACCAGGATGTTGAAAGACACAGCACATCCACACTTTGCCCAGCGGTTATGTCACCAAGCTACGAATGGACTGTCCCATCCCTCCTGAAACACCCGGTATACTAATTGTACAGACGCGGAAAAGTAGCTAACAGCTTTGAGTTCATCAGCCACGTATAACCTAGACCAAGTCAGAGGTAGTTACATCCTGCGGGACAGTGAAAGGCAGACATTTCCATGGCGGAGCCTGTGGACCATGGCAAGGTTAGTGCAAGGAAAGGAAATTACAAATGTTCCATAAACATCAAGTGTCCTGTGTCTATTATTTTGATATTGACAAAAGCTACCGATTTTAGTTCCCGGCTTGATTTTTCCAAAATATTTTGCATGTCTCCTTTGAAGATCAGGTTTAAGAGACATGAGGAAAGCTGAGTTCATGCTTGAAGGCAGCAGTTGTTTACTTTTCAGGAAAGCAGTTAATACAGTAGAGGTAAGTCTGAAGTTCGAGCATGTGATTGAGAGATTTTGATGGTTCCATTATGGGACAATACATCATAGAGGCTGTCAAAATATTTTATCCTTACCTCTCAGGACAGAGCAAGTCCACTTGATGCACGTAGGACAACAAAGAGTTTTATTCCAATTATGAGTTTAGCCCAGGGATTATTTCAGGGCAAGTTATTGGCAAATCATTTTGTTCAAGGTCAGATCTTCCTCTAACGTAGCCTACTCCTGAATGATTACTTTCCACATAAAGCCAGGAACATATGGTGGGTTACATTACAGGCATCTATCAGTGGAAATGTTTAGGGATTTCACTTTCCTGAAGTTCTTACACGCTTTCACTTGTATCTTTCTAAACAGATGATCAAACAGTGAGGTAACAGATCTCGACTAGGCGTTAAAGACAGTAAGACTAAGCTAACAGTGAGGGAGTATCTTTCAAAAAAATTATTCCTACCTCTCCGACTCCTCTATCCAATATTCCTTCTGCTACACAGATACTAATTACCTTCAGTTTTGCTTATCTGATACATATTACATCAGGGCAATTATTTAGAACTTCTATTTATCTTTTGAGTTTTTTCATACACTGGGAGAAGAGATTGCGTACCTGAAAGTTTCTCTACCTTTCCCAGCTATACTGCTTAATCTGATAAAAGGAGACTTGCACAACTTGCCTGTACCATGTTTTTACACAATTGCAAATAAAATACATTTCCTTTTTGATTCCTTCTTTAATGAGCTATACAACATCCATCCTTAGCGAAAACTCACTTCAGTTGCCTGTCTTGCTATGAGATGAATGGCCTTGGAGGAGACCCTGTTTCTCCTCTCTGTGTACAAAAGGAGCCTGGGATCACCAGCTCAAATTCAGAATGCGACTTTTACATGCAAGGTCAGAATATTCAGAAAACTTTACTGCCTGAAGAACCTGTAAATTGAACTCAGAAAGGCTTTTATTGTGCCAATTGGCCAGTGGCTGCAGCTGTGCAGTTGAAAATAGAAAGTCAACAGCTAATACAAATTAACATTGTTGCAATTGTCAGCCAGCAATAACAAACCCGCGCCCTGGCTCCTCACGACCCCTTGAAATGGTGCAATTACTGCTGTTTTTATAAAAAGCTCAACATTGGCTTATGCTAAAACAGCAAATAATTTAAATAATGTCAAAATGTCAAAGTAGTTCAATTTCAACAACTATTTTATTATGGCTAGGTTCCTCTTTTATGCAAGTGCTCTTTAAACCAGTTTAACAAAAGTGGTTTCCTTTTCAAAAGTTTTCTAGCTGCATTTCTGATTTCCTATCGCTGCCCAGATACACAAACACAATTTCTTAGTTTATATCTATCTACACACATATGCATGCGCATGGAAGAAATATGTGTATATTTCAAAGCTATTGCATTCTTTAAATACAAGAAGCTCAGGTTCATCAATTAAATTATTTATACTCCGTCATCTGCCACTAAGAATGTAACTCCTTCAGATTTGATACAAAATTCCCACCGGTGCGCAAATGTGCATGTGTGGACATAAGCGTGAGGATTTTACTGAACTTTTTGTATGACAATCTTCTAGTAATCAATTCTTTAACCTGTACAGACACTCCAATGTGAATACTAAATAGCTCAAGTAGAAGACTACCATTCCACGAATCTGCAGAAGAAAAATAGTATCTTTCAGTGTATAATTAAAAAAGGATTCGAACGTGATCCAAAGAGTTTATAAAAGCAGACGCAAATGCTGACAGACATTTTTCATTCTTTCAGCTTTAACTATATGATATGCCTACAACTATTACATGTAACTCCATAATATTAAATAACCTGTTGTCATGTCATTTCATTACTATATTCTTAACAGTCTCTTTGTAAAAGAAATGTGAGCACTTTAAAGTATACTATTTCAGGTCATAAACCACAGTTTATGCCGATGGATTCTGTTTTCTGTAACAGTTTAACCACAGATTATTCCATAAATTTTTATATAAAAGTTGAAAGACAAAAACAAATCATCCTTGAAGCAGTATATTTCATTAAAAAAAAGCATGAAGTATTTTGCCGTTAATAATTCAAAGTTTTGGGGGGTTTTTCATATGAAAGAGGAGTGATATGTTCCACTTTTGTTTTCCAAATCGCTTATTGGTATATATGACTATGGTAAATGTGAATATACAAAACCAATTTTAATTCCGTAACAGGAATGTTAAAGATTAACTCACACTAGTCAGTGGCATACAATTTATCTGCACTTATAACAAATTCAGGATTATTAAAGATGCACATAAACTTTGTGATTTCTACATTTTAGTAACAAAATAGCCAGTTTATAAATCAAGAACATAACATTTCAAGCAGTATTTTTGTAAAATTATTAAGCCAGTGTTTGCATAATTATTTCAGATACATACATCTCTCAAGCTACTGAAGCAAGGTCTTCAGTCCACTAAGTAGTAACCAGAACTGCTGAAGCAATCTGGTTGTTTCCTGCACTAGGTTCCTGCACCGATTTAGTGATTCACCATAAACCTTTAACTTTCTAACAAAGCTTTGACAGGCAGGAAAGAAAAATATTTCAAAATACCTTTTTTGGTTTTGTTTTAAAAAGGTTGTATATTTAAATTGTAAGAGTTTTAAACTGGCTAGTGCTATAGTAGCTCGTAGTGTGGAAGGTTAAACATCACAAGATATGGAAGCAGTAGTTTCAAATACTTTATTTGGAATGTAATCTGCACAGAGAAAAATTCTGTGCTTTTTAACATCTTCTTAACCTATTTAATTTTCCCTGCATAATTCTCATCTGGAATAACAACAGATACTTTCACTGAAGTCATCAGGTATGCCTAAATGTGCTTCTAATACAAATAGCAAAAGCGTATGTGGATGCCCTATTTTGAATCATATTATGCTAAAAAACCCAGCAACCTCCACCCCCCCCAAACTTCAAAGAAACTCTTCAATACTTGAATATGAAAGTCATGCAGTTGTCACATATGAATCCAACATATTCATCCACTAGTGACACCTCAGAAGTGGCGACGTATTTGCACAGTACATCTCACCAGGCAGCGATCTTGGATAACCCTATGCATTACAGAGCATTAGCAGATATTGAACGATTTTATACATAGGTTTAATGCTGGTTTTGTTGGATGTTTTTTCTTTCCAACAAAAGGAGAATAGAAATGTGCTATGACCCTAGGAATTAGAAATGTATTCCTAGCTACACCAACATATAGCTTCTGAAGATCAAAATCCAGAGAGACTATGCCATCGCAGCAGAAGTTCTGCTGTTTTAAACTGTGGAACGTTCTGTCTTTTCTTTTGATGCACAAAAAGGCAACCACTTCACTGGCAACCAGTGGGCACTTCTACCACCTCAGTCCAAAGCAAGCTTTGGGAACAGCTGGGCAGATAACACAGTATCCACTGAACTCAGATGTTTCTTCAGGTGTATATCTTAAATACAGACTCAGTAACACTTTGCTGCTATTAAAGATTCCAGATGGAGGATGTTTTGTAAAAGCCTGTGGCTTTTATACCCACCTATCCCCTCTTATCGGCCTCAAATCAGCTACTCTAAGTTCTACTTTAAACACAGCCCAAACGGTCAGTAAGCTCTAAAAAAATACCAAGGACAACGTAAACTAAAAAAGCCACCCAAAGTTGACCTAACTAACCCATTTTCCTCCTAAGAAAGACACTGTACAGACAGACATAGTGAACTCCTACTGGTTGCTATCAGTGGTAACAAGCAACCAAGAGATGCTTGGGGCAGTCACCATGACACTTTTGGCTGGGCAAGCAAAAAAATCTAAGAGCCAGATATATTTTCAGCAAACGTGATTAACCAGAAATATCTGAATAGAAAGGGCACATGTCCACCCACTGCAGAATATGCACAAAAGGTATAAATACCTGAAGTAACACTCAAAGAAGGATATATGATTTTTAATCCAAAATTACAAGATTTGTATATAACATGGTAAAGGAAAGAGAACTAAAACTACAACAACTTAGTTCAAGAAACAGGGTACATAAAGTTTCTGCGATACTTACCACTGTGAAATTCATAACCTTCAAAATCCATATTGTCATTGCTAAGTTAACAATCATGGTAACCAACAGCAGAAGGACAAAGAAGTATAAGCACCTCTTTCGCCATCCATAAATCCCTACTGGGTAAAACTGTGGATGTTCAGTCCTTGGAAGGCTGTTCTGTTGGGTTGCTAGTATATACTGCTCTCGTGTCATCTGGAAAAGAAAGATGTAAGTATAAGTAAGGAAAGGAGAGGTCTGTTTTTCACATATTTTATTATATGAATATTATCTGAGAATATACAGAAAATCAGGTTCAATGGGCACAGAAGGGATGCATTCATTCAGCACAAACCACCTCAATGTTATTTTTATTACTCATTTTGTAAGAATTTGGTATTTTTCTCTAATTTAAAGTAAACCTTTGGTTTCATATTTCAAATTGAATTTGCATTTCAAATTTATCAGCAAGAACTGTAAATAATATGAATATGATCCATATATGTATCTTGCATTCTATTTCTGAACACTATTTTATTGTCCTTTACAAGGTCATTCAGGAAATTATGTTCTTGGAGAAACAAGTAATGTAACTATTTTTGTACTGGTTTTGACTGAGATAAAAACAATTTTCCTCCAAGTAGCTTGCAGCCAAAATCATTACACTCTTTCTTACAAATAGAAGAAAATATCTTCTTTTTACAAATGTATCTGTCATAAATGAATTTATCACTTGTATTATACTTAGTAAATTAAATTAATAATTTATGCCATTATAATACATCCATATTTTACTTGAAGTTACGCCATTACGTATACCACATTTTACACAAAAAGAAACATGAAAACCCTTTGAAGCTTTAATTTTGCCCTTTAGAAGATGTGGATATTATCATCTTCTGTTGTTTTCCTGAACCAGTTTAAGTTCTAGCATACAAGCTACAAACTACTTTGAGGGGTTATCATCAATACTTTTTTAGAGGAAAAATGTTTACGGCATTTAATAAAAAGACATTTCACATTTTACATCCTTAACTTTCTTTTACAGATATTTAGAATTATATTCAGCTGCCACATTGCCTGTAGAATGGAAGGTATTAACTTTTCTCCATGACTTAAAAATGAAATTAAAGCAATCTTCATCTGTTTATGTAAAAGTTCTTCCTGAAATATGCCCATTAAAAAGATTTGTTTAAGAGGATTTATGCTCAGTAGGAGGAAAAAAAAACAAAACCTAAACCAAAGAAGTATCCCAAACAAACAAAGCACCCTACAAACTTATAAACTAGACAGAATGATCAGTTTTACTCTTAAAAATTACCATTCTTTTTATTAAAAGAAAGTAACAAATGCCCCCAGAATGGGTGAGATGATTCAACTAGAAATAAAAAGAGATTAAATCCATTTGAAGGATCAAACAAATGGTGATTTCATAGGACTGTTAAAATGTAAAGCTCAAAAATGTTTCTGTAAAAATCTGTATTGCTAAATATTTATCCAGATCAAAACTCTTGTGGTTTTACCACGCACTTGATAGTGAATGAGATATTAAAGGCATAAATTAACTCTCTGTGAATAATTACAGCCACAAGCCATGGAATATACTTCCATATTACAACAACAATACATATTATCACTGAAATAAGTAATAAACAGAAACAATTAATTTATAACGCACGTTTTAAGCAAGCTAGTAAACAGATATTTTCTTATTTTCATTCTTTTCAATCAGAATTGCTTCTCTTTGCCCATAAATGTAACATTTAGCCTTTCATTTGCACAGTGAACCTTTACAAACAAAACATTCCTCAATGAGATTTCTCAGCCCTCCCAGAGCAAAGTCTCACTTGGTTTCAAGACTTCAGATCACCCCTTTATGATATCCTGGCAATATTCATCTTAGCTGTGTCTGAATTCCTGACGAATTCAGAAACTGTATGCAAGAAAGGGTTAATTATCTTCCTCCTTGTAATGAGTTTCTAAGTGTTTCTTCAGCCAGCCATTGTAACAAAAATGCAATGCATGATTCAGGCACAGGAAGTTCCGTCTGAACATGAGGAAGAACTTCTTCCCTCTGAGGGTGACGGAGCACTGGAACAGGCTGCCGAGGGAGGTTGTGGAGTCTCCTTCTCTGGAGATATTCAAGACCCGCCTGGACAAGGCCCTGTGCAGCCTGCTGTAGGTGACCCTGCTTCAGCAGGAGGGTTGGACTTGATGACCCACAGAGGTCCCCTCCAACCCCTACTATTCTGTGATTCTGTGATTCCATTTTGAGATTTTAAAGTAATAGGTATTTTTTACACCATTTCCATTGTCTTGTGACCTTAGTCTACGTATTACTTACAAAACAATTAATATAATTAAGAAGTTGAAAAGCCAACTTCCAGATTGTGAGAATGTCAGATGTAACACTGGCCCTAAAACTACGAACGTGGTGTCGTAGTTTAATGCGGCAGCTGGCTATTAAGCACTAGACAGCCACTCGCTCCCCCCTCCCCTTCCTCCTGGTGGGAAGGAGAGGAGAACGGACAGAAGGGAATACTCATTGGTTGAGATAAAAACAGTTTAATAAGACAGCAAAGGAAATCATAATAATAATGAAAATGCAAAACAAGCAATAAAATTTTTCTCACGGCCTGATGACCAATTAGTAGCCAGTCCACGAGCAGTGATCACGGGATTCATAGATATCCCAGAGCTCACAAATTTAGCCAAACTCATGAATTTTGCAGAACTTGCCAAACTCACAGAAAAGAAAGACGGAACTTGCGTAAAAGTTTGAACTCACAGAAAGAGCGAACTCCCGGAAAAGAGAAAAAAAGAGGAGACAGTTGAAACTCATGGAAAAGAGTGTTCCTGCGCCCTGACCAACCCCCATTCCTAAACTGAGCATGACATCCATGATATAGAACATTTCCACTGGCCAGCCGGGCTGTCTGTCTGGCCATGCTCCCTCCCAGCTCCTGCATACCTGCCCCTTAGCTGAATATAGGAAACTGGAAAAAGTCCTTGATTTCACAGCAAAAACTAAAAACATCAGTGTTATCAACATTCTTCTTGCACTAAATCCAAAACACAGCTGCTACTGGGAGGAAAAATAACTCTATCCCAGCCGAAACCAGGAAACGTGCCTCCACGAAATATGCCCTTTGCAACTTAATAATTAAATGCAATGACAATTTATTCCGTCAACCTTTGCATACAAGCAATTTATTTCTTAAACTTGTTGGATATTTTTCCATTCAAAACCCCAAATAAACTTCTAATTCTGAAACTGTTCAATATAAAACCACACACCACCAGCTGCCTTCGGGCCACAGGCAAGATGGTCAGACCCAATTCACGTAACACCTGTTCTTCCTACCCACATACAAGCATCAAGGCTTCAGTTTTCTAAGAACTGCACATATATACATATAAACAGGCCCAAAGAATTTATCATTTTCTATGAATATAAAAATATTGTTGTGATTTTGGCTTTCTTTTTTAGGGTTATTGATCTGGCCAGTTACAGTTATTGGCAGCACTCTTACTACTGATATATATACTTAAGTAAAATAACATTAACTTATTTTTAAACCATTGAAAACTAAAACAAACCCTGGTTGGTCTGGTAATTAGTATCTGGACATGTTAAAAGCAGTAAGACAAAAATCACATAAATGTTTGCTGAATATTTCCTTTTAGTATCATATTTTTATCACCAGTAGCTGAAAAGATACTAGATCATATCTACTTCAGGCAAGCATTTCTAAATGAGGAGGAACTGCTATAGACTCCATGTTTTGTAAATCAGGAAAAGGCAAAGAAATGCCAGAATACTACAAGGACAATTAAGTTATTAAAGTATTTTTTTGAAGTGACTTACATGAGTCTTGCTAAACCGTGTAATATGACAGAATATCTCTCAAAAAGCTGGTCACACTTAAAAAAATATGACAAGCTTTTGCCAAGAATTCTGATTCATAAAGTGCACATTTACTTTATATATAAAAATACACACACTCCGGTATTAATGAATAAATATGTATATATGTAGATCATAGGAATAAATACAAGTATACACACAAACTTTTGATGACTGAGTTGCTATTTTTTCCTATTGAACTTTAAAAGTACATTATAAAAATGTATATTCTAAACTAGGCAACTAACGAGTCTTATTGGTGAAGAATTATTATGAAAAGAACATTCAAATAAGTCTGGCTGTGGTAAAAGTTTAATCCTATTCCATTACTTAGGTCTTGTAAATATGAGACAAGATGAGAGAAGAACTATGGTTTCAAAATTCACTTGGGTTTCTGACATTAGGGTGCTTGAGGGTCTCAGACAAAAAATAATTAAACTACAGAAGCGCTCCATTAAATCTTCGAAGGGTTTCAATGTTAGGAGTTATCTTAACTTGATAAAATCACTGGTGCACAAAGTCATAAACAACCCAGAGCCACATGCTAGAGAAATTAAAAATAACTCCTGTGCTCTGATAACAAATGAGATTTCTAATTCAGATCCAAAGTAATATGGGATACATTACTCAGTATCTACAAAGACATTAAATCAGTTCTTACACTGCACACGCATCATAAACAAGATAAAGGAAACTATCATAGCACTGCAAACTGTTTAGTCATGTCACAACTGTACATGAATATATTTTGCAGTTTTTAATTTTCATTTTCTGCTACTTCCATGCTTCTCGATTTCTTTCAGAACCATAAAATATATGAATGTGCATATTCACTAGGCACAGGTGAATCTGAGTAACCACACAGTGTGAAATCTAGATCACAATCAAGCCAATGACCTTTGAACTATCGGTATTTTATGGCCATAAAGTACTATTGGAACAGATAACTTCTAAAAGTTATTAAAGAATGGAGAAGAGACATTTTACATTTTTAAAGTTTATTTTAGTCTTTGGGAAAATCTCTCATAAAGGTAAAATTTCAAAGCTGAAAAATTAAAGAGAAGACAATGAGCAAATGAACTAAATCTAGAGGGGGAGATTGTTAGCACAATTCCTGAAGTTAGGTTAGAAATCTACTTACACAGTGTTAACAAAAACTGTTTAGAATATGATTATGCCCTGCAAATATTTCTCTAGACAAATATAAATTTGTCTTAATGGCTAACAGCTCTTCTCTAAGTGCCACAAAAGAAAAATCAGGTTCAAAACTAAGGAATGAAATAAAAGCATCGTTGTTCTTAATTACAAA